GTTCGGAATCGGCGTTATAAACTGTAGGTCCATTGGTGTCAAAATGACACCGAATAATATTGTAAAAAAAAATACACAAGAGAAAAAATAATCGTTTCCCGTAATTTTTGAATGCTGACTATGATCCCGTTTATTGCTCTATTACGTCATAAATAAATTATTTATAAATTAATTTTATATAATAGAAACATCATTTGATATTTTTTATATAGGTACCAAGTATTTGTATAAATAAACACTGCACAAATTTAAATAATAAAATAATTTCATTAACATTTAAGCTTCCGTATGTATACGGGTATACCTTTCCAGTACATACGTGAGTCTGTTGCGTTCGACGCTATTTTCCCTACGTTAAAGAATTTAGAAAACTCATAAAAAAATTCACAAACATCTGTCTACATTGTAATTGACGATTTTATAGTCATTTTAATAAACATCGTTTATTTAATATTTTATTTTTAATGAACTTTGAATAAGAATAAAGGAAAAAGATGAGTTTCTTTAAGAATTTATTTTTTTTCTATGCAGAAAGAAAAAATCTTTTATGCCCGGTTTCACCAACGTCGTTTAACTTGAATTTTAGTTCAATTCACTCTTTGTCTCTTTCTAACAGTCTCCCTTAGAAACAGACGAAAAGTGAGTTAAACTAAGGTTAAAATTAAATGACGTTGGTGAAAACGGGCATTAACGTTTTTCATTTCAGAGAGATAAGTGTTTAATAAAAAAAGTGGGGCGTTTTATTTAAAAAATTGAAAGTGACCTTCACGTGATCTTCAAACGCTTATCCAAGGTCAAACTAATGACACCATCTTATGTGCCCCTTGAAACCGCACAACTTTTGTCTGAAACATTTTTGCTGAAAATGCTTCGTTGAAGAATTAGGTGCATTTTTTAAAATAGGACACCCTGTCTTTTTATTAATTTCATTAATATTTAAATTTATATCTACAATTTATTTATGCTTTCTATATATCTGTATAATATTTTATATCACAAGAAAAAGAATATATTTTTTTACAAACACATGAACATAAGTCCACATTCAAAACACATATAAGTATTCGCTCTTATTTAAAAATCTTTCTAGACGAATTGATTAGAACGACTGATTCTGAATTAATATTTAAACACAAACGAAACCTTATAATATAAGGCTAATTTTCCGCTACTTCTAATCCCTGTCTCCAAAATTTCATTCTTTTACCTTTGATATTTTAACAATGATGAAACTCTTATCTTTTGGACATCCAAAACAGTTTTTCTTTTTGTCTTTCTGTCTTTATATCTTCGCCATTTATTTTCGTCTTATTTATCATGCAGCTGCTATCGCTTTATATAAGAAAACGATCGTCGAGAAGAGCTCAAAAGAACGGATTACTTAGCATCAGTCGACCAACACAGTGCGTTAATAAACATTGCTCCTTGTGAATCAGCAGCAACACATTTTTAAAATGTTTGCTAAAGTTTTGTGGGTCTTTGTGACAGTGATCGTGCTATTTGGCGTTTACACTTACGGTGAGATAGTGATGTTTTTTCATTTTTTAACAAAAGTGAGATTTATAATACACGACTTATTTTCACACGTATAAAACTTGTAAAAATATTACTAGTATATTCAATGGCTACAAATTTTAATTCCATGTTATAATTTTTGAATAATGATGTACTTGAAAATTGGAGAAATTGATAATTTGAGAAAATATCGATTCAAAGACTCGTTAAAAACCGAAGTATGTTACAAATGGAATGTTTTATCCTAAACTACTTTCTATCAGTGTACGAAAATAGAATTGGAATCAAATACATAAATCACTAACTTTGGCTGATTTAAAGAATATGAGTTATAAACTTTGCAATATTAGTTTTAAAACCATAATTTTTAATAATAAAATAATAAAAAAAAACATAATAATACTAAAACTTGTCTTGATTTGGAAGAACAGAATTTACTTTGGAAAATAACTGTCTATATTTTTCACAATTTCCGTTTTGTTTTTTTTCTATGTATAATGCGCTTTTAAAATTTAAGCAGTATTTCATTAAACTTTGTGCGAAGTAGAAATTTTGCATTAATCTTCAATTGATTTGAGAAACAGAGATCCGATTGCATCCGGCTATCGCTAGTGTGTTATGAATTTTTATTAGCCGCGTATGTATCATCATAACAGTTTGTATCTCACAGCGTTTTTTAAAAATATTTATGATTCCATGACTGCGTTTCTGACTGTTATGCGATTGCTAACCAATTTAAAGATTTACCTATTTTATCTGTAAAATCAAATTTTCTCTTATTATGTTATTGTGTTCATGTTTAGAGGTATCATTTATGATTTAAAAAAAATATTTTTTAAATAATCTTTCTCTATAATAAATAAAAAAATATATCTAATATAATATTTTTTATAAACACATGTTAAGAATAAAAAATAATATTTAATTCATTTGTCTGGTGACATTTTTTCTAATCACATTAAGTATATTTTTTAGTAGTTATTAATAACCATTCAATACAAAGTATTTATATAATTATATTATACTATCCTAAAGTCTGCTACAGTCTACTAGTGACGTTTTATCATAAAAATCATTTAACTAACATGCTCATTGTGAAGCGATATAACTTGGCCAATGACGTAAACGATATCGTAGGCAAAAATAAGTATGCCCGTTCGTAACAAATTTCATGATTAATATTCTGAATTTTTTATGTTTTCGTAAAACATTGTTAATGATTACAGAAATAGCAATTAATCAGAAAATCCGATAAAATAATATTGCAACAGATGCACTTTGTTTGTAACAAAATCTAGATTAAAGTAACGAAAAAACCTGATCGATTATTTTAATACAAATATAATTTGTTCTACTTCTTTATTGCTTCGCGATAGTAGAATGTTATTAATTGTAAAATTGATTACTGACATTGTGATAAATATTTTCCTTTATATTCAAGAATATAAAAAAAATTGTGATATATACTTGATTTTGAAAGTTGAACACGAGAAGAGAATCCATCAGAATTACTTATCAGTATTTTGCTCAAAGCGATACATGTACCTTGTTTAATAAAATTAGAAAATTAATTAATAACTGAATAATATTTCCTTGTTTAATCGACGCATTCTATTTCAGCTGGATTATTTCTGCGTATGATAGTGCATTAATTAAAGCTGTTGCTTTTTTTATGTTGCTAACTTTTAGTACGAATAACGTATAAATATACATTTTTTATTACAGCTCAACTCATGTCGCTGGTTTGCTTAAACTGTTTATGCGAAATTACCACAGGATGTAATACTACTATTGGTTGCGATGACACGTCGTGTGGACCCTTTTCGATAACAAAATCTTTTTGGGTTGACGCTGGCAAACCACCTCCAAACGGAAAATCGAGCAATGACGACGATGGTGTGTTACTCTTTCTCTTGTACAAAATACCTTAGATATTTATTAGAAATAGTAATTTCTAGTTATTTTCCCTTTATTTACAATCGCACTTTTTTATACATTTCGTGATTGGAATGAGTAACCCTATAGTATTACATTCCAAAAAAAATGGAAGAAAAATGTTACGTAATGTATATGTATTTAATTCGCATTAAGAAGGTTGCTCCATTCGGTAGATTAAAAACGGAGCAATACTGCAGAAGCCGCACGTGTCGGAAAATTCGTTAATTATTAACTATAAAAGCGTAAAATATACGATATTTTTGTAAAAATATTTAGATATCTGATTAAGTAGTGTCTTTGTAAATTATATATTTCCAACTTAATTAAACCTAAAGAAAGGACAATATTATTAAAATAGAAATGCAGTACTGTTTTAAAATCGTGCGTTCACGTAAAAGAGTCACGGTGCGGTCTCGCTTCACTTGGCACGAGACACTACCGTGTCTCTTGATATTCCAAATTATATTTGAAAGGTAATTTCGAACGCTATATGACTTTTTACTTCAGTTATTAATTTATTTTTAGTTTCATTTCTTAAAATTATAATAAGAACACTTATAAAGGAGTTCATATGTATTATAGAATTCTATGTATCAATACTAATAATATTAATTAATTCTGACAATAATTTTATTGACTTTTTTCGTTACTTTTTATTTTATATAATACAGATTTTACATGAATACTCTAATATAATGGCATTTAGTATTAAGTCAATATTAGTATAATCTGCCCATAGTTTGTATGCCTATTTACTTTAGTAAGTAATAAATACATTTTTATAATAATAATAATAATAATACTTAATAATCGTTTTTTTTCATTATAGCCAATGTAGCTTATCGCGAATGTGCCAAAAATATATACTGCGCTGGTTATACAGTACAAGCGTACATGGCTAAACACAGTCGGGTAAGATCAACATGTTCACATTCAGATTTTGGGTTATACTTGTCTTATACTACGCTAATGATACGTTTAATCATAACGTTAATTAAATAGGACTGTAACGGAGATGGAGTGATCGACTGTGATGATTACGTACGTCTTCATCGACTTGGCGCATACGGTTGCACCGGCTTACTAAGCAATGTTTACGAAAATAGATATATGTTGTGCTTACAAACCTTCCAACATAAATAATA